TTCCCCACCCTAGGTAACCAGTAATATAATTCTGTCTCTACAGATTTTCCTATATGGTACATTCCATACAAATAGAATCCTGTAATATGTGACTAGCTCTTTTTAGTTAGCATAACATTTTCAAGGTACATCCTTGTTGTTGCATGTTTCAATATTTCATTCTTTTTTTGATAAACAGTATGCCATTACATGGATGTACCACACTTCATTTATCTATTATTCATCAGTTGCTGGATATTGGGGTTGTTTCTACTTTTTGGCTATTATGAATAGTGCTGCTATGAACATTCATACAGTAGTTTTGTGTGGATTTCTTCTTAATTCCTCTTGGTTATACCCAGGAGTGAAATCACTGGGTTGTAGGTAACTCTGTATTTCACATTTTGAGGAACTGCTAAGCTATTTTCCAAAGAGAATACATGATTTTACATTCCCACCAACAATATACTAGAGTTCGAATTTCTCCACTTCTTTGTCAACATATGTTACTGTGTTTTTTCTTATAGTCATCCTAGTGGGTATGTAGCTGTATCTCACCATGGATAAGATTTGCATTTCCCTAATGGCTAGTAACATTGAGCATTTCTTCATGTCCTTATTGGTCATTTGTATGTATTCTTTGGATAAATGTCCATCCAGATCCTTTGCCCATTTTTAAATTTAGCTATTTTTTTTTTTCAGTTGTAAGAGTTCTTTATGTATTCTGGATATAAGTTATCCAGATATCAGATATTTGATTTGCAAACATTTTCTCCCATTCTGTGGGTTGTGTTTTTACTTCCTTGATAATATCCTTTACAGCAAAATGTTTTTTTGATTCTCACAAAGTTCAGTTTATCTATTTTTAATTTTGTTGCCTATGGCTTTTGGGGTCATATTTAAGAAACCATTGCCTAATTCTAAATCATTAAGATTTGAGCCTGTGTTTTATTCTAAGATTTATATAGTTTTGGCTCTTAAATTTATATCTGTAATCCATTTTGAGTTAATTTTTGTATGTAGCTTAAGTAAAGGGTCCAGTTCATGTGCATGTACAGTTGTTGTAGCACTATTTGTTGAGACTGTTCTTTCCTTATTGAATTGTTTTGGCACCCATGTCAAAAATCAACTGATTGAAAATGTGAGGATTTCGTTCTGCAATCTCATTTCTGTTCCATTGATCTATATGTCTATGCTTATGCCAGTACCTCATTTTCTCAGTTACTATAGATTTGCATAAGTTTTAAAAACAGAAAATGTGAGTCCTCCAACTTTGCTCTTTTTCAAGATCATTTGGATATTCTGGGTCTCTTGAATATCCATATGAATCTTAGGAGCAACTTGTCAATTTCTGCAAAAAAACCAGCTGGGGTTTTGATAGGGATTGTATTCTTTTTGAAGATCAATTTAGGGAGTATTGTCACCTTAATGATATTAATCCTTTTCATCTGTGGATGTGAGATGCCTTTCCTTTTATTTAGGTCTTCTCTAATTTTTTCAACAGTGTTTTGCATTTTTAGCACATCTTTTGTACTTCTTTTGTTCATTTTATTCCTATTTTATTCCTTTGGATGCTATTATAAATGAAATCGTTAGCTTAATTTCATTTTTGGATAGTGAATTTCTACTATATAGAATATAATTGATGTTTTTACATTAATCTGACAAAAAGGATTACAGATTTGGTTATGTATTAGGTAATATGCATATATGTTCATATATGCTTTAAAAGAAAATGAGACAATGTAGGATTAAAGATGGTGGCATAAGAGGTGAGACAGAGACCTCCTTCCCCAACCACATACAATATGAAAATAGAGTTAATACAACTAATTCTAAAAGGGCAACAGGAAAGAAGGCTGCGCCAGACTGCATACACCTGGAGAAAAGAGCAGACCTCATGGAACAGGGTAATGTACCAAGACCATGATCTGGTGGGACCCAAGCCCTTCCCCAACCCCAGCTCACTGGTGGAAGGAAGAGAAGTGGAGCAGGGAGGGGGTGGAAGCCTAGGACTACTGAACACTCAGCCGAGGAGATCTTCTCTGGGAGCACCAACCTATATTGCATGGTGGTCTGGAGATTAGTGGGGTTGGAAAGCTAAGACAGGTGGAATACTTGGAGAGACTGAGATTCCAGATGCTCGTGGAAAACAGGGATCCACATCTGGCTGCTCTGGGACAAAAGAAAGGTGGGCAGTCTCAGAGACTTCCTAACAGCGAGAGGGCTGCTAAAGGGGCAAGGATTGCACAGAGCTTGCTGTTTCGGAGAAAGGATAGGTGGATAAAATTGTCCAGGCGCACTCTGCCCAGCAGGTTGAGAACTTTCAGGAGCTTCAGGTGCTCCATCCCCCTGGCTGGCTATGCAGCTCTGAGGCCCCCCCTACTGTGATACACAGCTTTCTGTGCCTTCCTCCTAGCCAGCCCGCACCAGCACACAAACCAGCATTCCCTGCACTGGTGTCAGGCCAGCCAGAGGGAGGCCCCATCTATGGCAGCTACTAACCCAAAGCACAGAGCTTATACCTGTACACTCGGCCCACTGGTTCTGACAGTGGAGACAGGCACAGCAGCCAGGAAGCAGGAAACAGCTCTTTCCTCCCCGCAGGCACAGGCACTGCTCTCTGCAATCCTGGACATTGCTCCAGGGTTGAGCAGCTCCAGAGAGTATAGCTTCTGGGCACTAGAGGGTATCACATACAAATATGAACATCAAAGGAACTTGGTTCAAACCAAAATCTCAACAAACTCCAGAAAAAGGGAAAAGTGAAAACTCATCAATCTTCCTGAAAGAGATTTCAAAATAAAAATTATAAACATGCTCATGGAGGTACAGAAAAATATTCAAGAACTCAGGGACAAATTTAGGACAGAGATTCAATCACTAAGAAATTCAGTATTTGAAATGAAAAATACAATGGAGGAATTTTAAAGCAGATTAGATATAGTATAAGAGACAGTAAATGGAATAGAAATTAGATAAAAGGAATACAAAGAAGCTGAGGCACAGAGAGCAAAAGGGATCTCTAGGAATGAAAGAATATTGAGAGAACCATGTGACCAATCCAAATGGAACAATATTCATATTATAGGGGTACCAGAAGAAGAAGAAAGAGAAAAAGGGATAGAAAGTGTCTTTGAGGAAATAATTGCTGAAAACTTGCCCAGTCTGAGGAAGGAGATAGTCTCTCAGGTCATGGAGGTGCACAGATCTCCCACACAAGGGGCCCAAGGAAGACAACACCAAGACATATATAGTAATTAAAATGGCAAAGATCAAGGATAAGGACAGACTTTTAAAAGCAGGGAGAGAAAAAAGATCACCTACAAAGGAAAATCCATCAGGCTATCATCAGACTTCTCAACAGAAACCTGAAAGGGCAGAAGGTAGTGGCATGATATATTTAATGCAATGAAACAAAAGGGCCTCAAACCAAGAATACTCTACCCAGCAAGTTTATCATTTAAATTTGAATGAGGGATTAAACAATTCCAAGATAAGCAAAAGTTAAGGGAATTTATCTCCTGCAAACCATCTCTACAGTGTATTTTAAAGGGACTGCTCTACTTGGAAGTGTTCCTAAGGCTAAATAGCTGTAACCAGTGGAAAATAAAACCACAGTAAAATTGTATATCAATGATATGTTAATAAAAATAAAGAAAATTAAATTAAAAAAATAAGATTATACAGTGAACTTGGTATTTTCTCTGGGGAATAAGAGTTTTAGATGAACTACAAGGTGTAGTTTATCTTCATCTTTGAATATTTACAAATATATTTTAGTATAAAAGTGTTTCCATTAAAAAATAGTTCTTGGAGCACTAAATATCTGGTAAGATAACTTAAGTATCTCAACAAGCTGACCTACAAAGATGTGGGTCCTCTATTTCCTTAAAATGTTATAGGACATTTCATATTGACATTCCAGTCTAATATTGCATATTCCTTGGTTACATGTTGTTTTATCTCTTTTATGATATTATGAGCTTTTTATATTTTTCTCTTTTTTCCTATTGTTTTACTATGAAAGGTTCAACTATACAGAGTTTAAAGATTACTGTGAATTCACCTGTATGTATGTTCTCAGTTCGTGGATATGGGATGAACACACACATACATGCACACACAAATACTCACCATCTAGATTTGACAATTATCATTCTGCTTTATTTATTTTACCATGTTTCTATTCATCCATCTATCCTTATTAATTCTTTGAATGCATTTTGAAATAAGTTGCTGTTGTCAGTACACTTTACCTCTGAAAACCTCAGTATGCATATCAGGAGCTAGAGTTCAATATTTGTCTATAACAGTTCAAAAAATTTTTTAGGTACAACTTACAGAGAAATAAAAACTTTTATTATACTATTTGATACATTTTGACTAATGTAAATACCTGTGTAATCTAAACCTCCATCAAAATATAGAATATTATCTTCATGAAGCTCCTTGAATACCTCTTTCCATCTAGTTCTCATCAAGTCAACTAGTTCATATTTTACACCTTTATTTTAGTTTTGGTCAAAATTTAATATAAATATACCATGTGCACTCTTTTGTGTATTGCTTTTCTTAGCATGTTTTTGAGAATCATCTGTGTTGTTGCATCTGTCAGTAGTTTTTAAATTATTGAGTAGTATTCTATTGTATGAGAATACCACAGTTTCGTTTTTTGACTCTCTTGTTGGACACCTGGGTTGTTTTTAGGTTGTTATGTATAAAGTATTTTACACTTTAGGAGCATACTTATACAAAATATTGTGTGGGTATGTCTTCCTTTTCTTTGTTATATACCCAGGAGTAGAATTTGTAGGTCATAGGGCATATATGTTAGTTTTATAAGAAACTTAAGACATTTTTCCAAAGTGGCTATGTGATTTTACACTCCTACCAACATCACTTGGTGGTAGTTCTTTTAAATTAAAAATTATTTATTCTGGTGGTTGGGGAATAGTATCTTTTTGTGATTTTAATTTTTATTTCCTTGATGATTATTTTTACTTTTTGTTCTCTTTCAGACAGTTCGGCATGGTTTTCCTCACCAGCCTACAGCATTAGCCTTTGATCCAGTTCAGAAAATCTTGGCTATTGGGACGAGGACAGGTGCTATACGAATGTATCCTTAATTTTTGGTTCATCTTTGCTATATTAACACAAAATACATTTCCTTAAGTATTCAGGTAGGTGAAATATTTATGAACAAATAAAGTTTATTGCTTTTTTAGAAGTGAGTAATAATTGTGAAAGCCCACACTGTCAAATTTACTGGCATGTTTTTAATGTGTGTAAGATAAGTATTGGTGCCCGTTTTTAAATTCCTATTACTGGTAATTTATATCTTTGCTTTTTTTGCTGATCAGTCTGGCTAGAACAATACTTATTAATTGTATTGATTTTCACAAGAACCAATTTTGATTTTCGTTGCTTTTCTATGCTGTTTTGCTATCTTCTATTTCATTAATTCCTGCTTTGATCCCCCCTTTTTCTGCTTAACTTTGGGTTTAATTTGATCTTTTTTTAGTTTTTTTAAGGTGGAAACTGAAGTAATTTGTTTGAGAACTTTCTTCTTTCCTAATATATTCCTGTAGTGGTACAAATTTTCTCCCAAATCATGTTATAGTGTTATCACATTTTTTAATTAAACTTTTTATTTTGAGATAATTGTAGATTTGATTGTATTTGTAAGAAATAATACAGAGAAATCCCATGTACTCCTCATTCACCTTCTTCCAGTAGTAACACTGTATAAAACTATAGTGTACTATCACAAACATAATATTGACATTGGTACACTCCCAAGGTACAGAGCATTTTTTATCACCACCAGGATTACTCATGTTGCCCTTTTATAGCCACACCCTGTCCCTTCAATTCTCTTATCCCTATCCCTGACTCCTAACCATAACTAATCTGTTCATTTCAGTGATTTTTCCACCTTACGAATGTTACGTAAATGGGATCATACAATCTGTAACCCTTTGGGACTGACTTTTTTCACTCAGCACAATTCTCTGAAGATTCAACCAAGATGTCATATATATCAATAGTTCTTTTTTATTGTTGAGTAATATTCTGTGATTTAGATATACCAGTTTGTTTAACCAGTCACTTACTAAAGAACATCTGGGTTTCCAGTTTTTTGTTATTATGATTCAACCAGCTATGAACATTTGTGCATATGTTTTGTGTGAATGTAAGTTTTCATTTTTCTTGTATAAGTGCCCAGGAATGCAGTTTTGGGGGAAGCCGGTGGTATTTTAGTTGTATGTTTAGTTATATATGAAGATCCCAAAGTATTTTCCAGAGTAGTTATAACATTTTATGTTCCCACCAGCAATGTGATTAAATCCACATAATTACTAGCATTTCTTTTTTTTTATTTTAACCATTCTAATTTTGCAGTTATACCTCATTGTGGAATTCTTATATATTGTAGATTCTAGTCCTTTGTCAGATACACACTTTGCAGTTATTTTCTTCTAGTCTTTGTCTTTTCACCTTAAATAGGATTGTTCAAAGTCCAATTTATCACTTTTCCTTTATAGAATTTGCTTTTTGTGTCACCTGTTAGAACCCTGCCTAATCCTGCATTTTATTATTTTCTAAAAATTGTATAGTTCTACATTTAAGTACAGGTTCTGTTTTGGTTTAATTTTTTATTTGTATTGTCTGTCTGGTTTTAGTATTGAGATAATACTAACTTCATAAAATGAGTAGAGAAGTTCCCTCTTCTTCTGTTTCTGGAAGAGACTGTATATAATTGGTGTTAATTCTTCCAAAGAATTCTCTGTTGATAGTACCTCTACTGATATTGGTGGAATTCTCTAGTGAAAGTACCTGTGCCTGGAGATAATTTTATGAGATATTTTATATTAAAATTCAATTTATTTAGTAGTTATGAGACTATTTTGGTTTTCTGTTTTATCTTAGTTAAATTTTGGTAGTTTGTAATCAGTCTTACTAGTGGTTTTATGAATTTTATTGATTGTTTTTGAGGTACTAGCTTTTTGTTTAATTGACATTCTCCATTTTCTTGTTTTCAGGTGTTTTTGGCTTACCTTTATTTCCATCCTTTGATTTTATTTGATCTTATTTTGCTCTTTTTTTTCTAGTTTCTTGAAGTAGGAATTTACATTATTGGTATGATACCATTTCTCTTTTTAAGGTGTGCATTTAGCATTTTTAATTCTCCAGACAGCACTGCTTTAATTGGATCCCACAAATTTTGGTATGTATGTTTTAATTTTAATTGAGTTATAAACAGTTTTAAAATTGCCTTAGAGACTTTTCCTTTGAACCATGAATTACTTAAAAGTGTCTTAATTGATTGGCAAATGGTTGGAATTTTTCTAGTTGTCTTTCTAGTTATTGATTTCCAGTATGGTTCCGCTGTGGCCAGAAAACACTGCATGATTTCAATTGTTTTAAAATTGTTAAAAGTTTGTTCTGAGGCCTAAGATATGGTCTGTCTTGATGAATGTTCTGTGGGCTATGAAAAAACATGTGCATTCTTTTCTGGTTGGATAGAGTGTTCTATATTTGTCAACTAGTTATTGTTGGTTGATTGTGTTTTTGTGTTCTACATTTTTGCTTATTTTTGTCTGAAAATTCTATCAAATCCTAGTAGTGGAGTATATTAGGATTGCCAGTGCTTATTTTGTATATATTTATCTCACTTTGCAGCTCTATTAATTTTTGATTTCTCTATTTTGAAGCTCTGTAGTTTTGCATGCAGACACTCAGGGTTGTTCTGTTTTCCTGCTGGATTAATCATTATGTAGTATCTTTACTTGTCTTCAGTAATTTTCATTGCTTTGAAATCTGCTCTATCTGATAATAAATATAGCAACTCCTTTTTTAAAAAATTAATGTTTGCATGGTATATCTATTTTTCCATTCTTTTACTTTAAATTTAACTGTATCATTTTATTTGAAGCAACATTATTGTGTTGGATGATTTTTTTATTGAGGTATAATTGATAGATGACATATTAATTTCAGATGTGCAACATAATTTTTCAGTATTTGTATATATTGGGAAATGATCACCACAAGAAGTCTAGTTAACATGCATCATTGCATAGTTATAAAAATTTTTTTCTGTGATGAGAATTTTAAGATGTACTCTTTTAGTAACTTTCAAATATACAGTACACTATTATTAACTATAGTTACCATGGTGTACATTACATCCTCAGATCTTATTTATTTTATAACTGGAAGTTTGAACTTTTGACCATCTCCACCAATTCTGCCTGCCCATACCCCTACCTCCAGCAACCAACAGGATCTTCTCTGTACCTGTGAATTCAGTGTTTTGGAGTTTGTTTGTTCATTCTTAGATTCCACATATATGTGAGACCATACAGTATTTGTCTTCCTCTGACTTATTTTCTCTCAGTATAATGCCTACAATGTTCATCTATGTTATCACAATGGCAAAATTGACTTTTTGGAGGCTGAATAATATTCTGTTGTGTGTGTATGTATATATATATATATGTATATATATATATGTGTGTGTGTGTGTGTATATACATATGTAGCACATTTTCTTTATCCATTCATCCATTAATGGACATTTACATTGCTCCCATCTTAATTACTGTAAATAATTCTGCAGTGAATGTGGGGGTGCAGATGTCTTTTTAAGTTAGTGTTTTCCTTCAGATAAATACCCAGAAGTTGAATTGCTGGATTATATGGTAGTTATATTTTAATTTTGGGGGGACCCTCTGTACTGTTTTCCATAGTGGCTGTACCATTTACAATTCCACCAACAATGTGCTTGGGTTCCCTATTCTCCATATCCTCACTAACACATGTTATTTCTTGTCTTTTTGTTAATAGCCATTCTAACAGGTGTGTGAAGTGATACCTCATTGTGGTTTTGGTTTGCATTCCGCTGATAATTAGTGATGTTCAGCACATATTCATGTACCTGTTGGCATCTGTATGTCTTTGGAAAAATGTCTATATCCTCTTCCCATTTTTAAATCATGTTGTTTGATTTTTTGCTATTGTGTTGTATGAGTTCTTTATATATTTTGGATATTAACCTCTTATCAGATATATCATTTGTAAATATCTTCTCCCATTTGATAAGTTGTCTTTATTTTGTTGATTGCTTTCTTCACTACAGAAGCCTTTTTGTTTGATGTATTCCTGCTTGTTTATTTTTGTTTTTGGGGTTAAATCACAAAAATCATTGCCAACATGGATGTCTAGGATTTTACTGCCTATGCTTTTTTTCTAGGAGTTTTATGGTTTCAGGTCTTAAACATTCACATCTTTGATCCATTTTGCATTAATTTTTGTGTAAGGTATAATATAGTGGTCCAGGTTCAGTCTTTTGGAGTTGGTTGTCCCATTTTCCCAGCACCATTTATTGAAGAAGCTGTCTTTTCTCCATTGAGTATTTTTAGTTCCCTTGTTAAATATTAGTTAATCATACATGCATGGCTTTATTTTTGGGCTCTTGATTCCATTCCTTTGGTTTTAGATGTCTGTTTTTATGGCAGTCATACTGTTTTGATTACTATTGCTTTGTAATATAGTTTGAAACCAGGAAGTGTGATACCTTTAGCTTTATTTTTCTTTCTCAAGATTGATTTTGGTATTTGGGGTCTTGTGGTTCCACACAAATTTTAGGATTTTTCTACGTATGGGATTTGGAATGCCATTGGAATTTATTACAGAGATTGCATTGAATTTGTAGATTGCTTTGGATAATATGGCCATTTTAATAGTAATTCTAATCCATGAGCATGGAATATCTTTCTATTTATTTAGGTCTTCTTTAATTTCTTTAATAAATGTCTTATAGTTTTCAGTGTCTAGGTCTTTCAGTTCCTTGGTTAAATTTATTCCTATGTATTTTATACATTTTGATGCAATCATAAATCTTATTGCTTCTTAATTTCACTTTCTGATAGTTTATTAGTAGATAGTAATGCAATTTTTGTGTATTGATTTTGATATTGTATATTGTATTTTGTATATTGTATATTGATTGTCAATCTATTCTGTCAATCTACCTATAATTGGTATATTAAGGTCATTTACAATAAAATACTTATTTGTATGTTAGGGCTTATGTCTGCCATTTTATTTCAT